TTTTAAACCCCCAAATTACAACCAATAGGAGAAAAGAACAGTCAGTCAGCACAACACCTCAACTTATGTTTTCCTGTTGGATATATTCTTTGTTACCTTCTTCAGAATGCGAAGATATTGGAAAAGTCTTGGAGGGGTGTATATATTGAACGTTGCATCTACCACCTTGTTTAGCTGTCTCATTTATATTACATACTTCCAGCATTCCCGTACTGAACTGTCATTGGTGGACTATTTTTTTAACCCACCAAATTACAGCCAATAGGAAAAGAGAGCAGTTAGTCAGCACAACACCTCAACTTATGTTTTCCTGTTGGATTTTATTCTCTGTTACCTTCTTCAGAATGCGATGATAATGGAAAAGTGATGGAGGGTGTATTTATTTAGAGTAGCATCAACCAAAATTCAAAATAGCGCAAAAACTACTGCACACAAGGGCCCTATAGGTTTGGCGCTCCCAGGGGCCCTCCTAGGGGTAACGGTTCCAACAGGGGCCAATGAAGGGGTGCCGACGCCTCATTGGACCTTCTCAGGGGTCGCGGGGCCTCCAGGGACCCTTCCTAGGAAGGCGGCACCCCTAGCACCCTCCCAGGGGCGCCGGAGTCCTTAGGAGGCCTCTCTGGGGGCGGCGCTGCCCCCAGGGACTCTCCCATGGGTGTTGGTGGTCCCAGAAACCCATTCAGGAGCTCCGGGGACCCAAGGGACGGCGGAGCAACCAGGGACTGTCCCAGGGATAACGGCGCCCCCAGAGACACTCCCAGTTATAAAAGCGTCCCAGGGACCTTTCCAGGGACCCTTTCCAGTGCTGTGGGGCTCCCAGGGGATCTCCCATAGGTGCTTGCAGCCGAGCGATCGTTCGAGGGGCCGCGACGTCCCCAGGGACCCTCCCAAGGGCGTTACGTCCCACGGGCTATCGTAATGGCGGCGGCGCCCCCAGGGGCCCTATCAGTGGTGCCGTTCCCCCAGGGACTCTGCCCTATGACATGCTTGTTCGCTGTCTCAGATATATTACATACTTCCACTAGTCCCTTACTGAACTGTGATTGGTGGACTTTTCTTTAACCCACCAAATTACAGCCAATAGGAGAAAAGAACAGTCAGTCAGCACAACGCCTCAACTTATGTTTTCCTGTTGGATATTATACTTTGTTACCTTCTTCAGAATGCAATGATATTGGAAAAGTGTTGGGGGTGTATATATTTAACGTTGCATCTACCAGCTTGTTTCACTGTCTCATATATATTACATACTTCCACTAGTCCCTTACTGAACTGTGATTGGTGGACTTTTCTTTAACCCACCAAATTACAGCCAATAGGAGAAGAGAACAGTCAGTCAGCTCAACACCTCAACTTATGTTTTCCTGTTGGATATTATTCTCTGTTACCTTCTTCAGAATGCACTGATATTGGAAAAGTGTTGGGGGGTGTATATATTTAACGTTGCATCTACCAGCTTGTTTCACTGTCTCATATATATTACATACTTCCAGCAGTCCCTTACTGAACTGTGATTGGTGGACTATTTTTTTAAACCACCAAATTACAACCAATAGGAGAAAAGAACAGTCAGTCAGCACAACACCTCAACTTATGTTTTCCTGTTGGATATTATTCTCTGTTACCTGCTTCAGAATGCACTGATATTGGAAAAGTGTTGGGGGTGTATATATGTAACGTTGCATCTACCAGCTTGTTTCACTGTCTCATATATATTACATACTTCCACCAGTCCCTTACTGAACTGTGATTGGTGGACTTTTCTTTAACCCACCAAATTACAGCCAATAGGAGAAGAGAACAGTCAATCAGCTCAACACCTCAACTTATGTTTTCTTGTTGGATATTATTCTCTGTTACCTTCTTCAGAATGCACTGATATTGGAAAAGTGTTGGGGGTGTATATATTTAACGTTGCATCTACCAGCTTGTTTCACTTTCTCATATATATTACATACTTCCAGCAGTCCCTTACTGAACTGTGATTGGTGGACTATTTTTTTAAACCACCAAATTACAACCAATAGGAGAAAAGAACAGTCAGTCAGCACAACGCCTCAACTTATGTTTTCCTGTTGGATATTATTCTCTGTTACCTTCTTCAGAATGGGATGATATTGGAAAAGTGATGGAGGGTGTATTTATTTAGCGTAGCATCAACCAAAGTTCAAAATAGCGCAAAAATTACTGCACATAGGGGCCCAACAGGTCTGGCGCTCCCAGGGGCCCTCCTAGGGGGAACGGCGCCAACAGGTGCCAATGCAGGGGCGCCGACGCATCATTGGACATTCTCAGGGGTCGCGGGGCCTCCAGGGACCCTTCCTAGGGGGGCAGCACCCCTAGCACCCTCCCAGGGGTGCCCGTGCCCCAAGGAGCCCTCTCTGTGGGTGGCACTACCCCCAGGGACTTTCCCATGGGTGGTGGGGCTCCCACAAACCCATTCAGGAGCTCCGGGGACCCAATGGACGGCGGAGCAACCAGGGACTTTCCCAGGGATAACGGCGCCCCCAGAGACACTCCCAGTTATAAAAGCGTCCCAGGGACCTTTCCAGGGACCGTTTCCAGTGCTGTGGGGCTCCCAGGGGATCTCCCATAGGTGCTTGCAGCCGAGCGATCGTTCGAGGGGCCGCGACGTCACCAGGGACCCTCCCAAGGGCAGTTACGTCCCACGGGCTATCGTAATGGCGGCGGCGCCCCCAGGGGCCCTATCAATGGTGCCGTTCCCCAAGGGACACTGCCCTATGACATGCTTGTTCGCTGTCTCAGATATATTACATACTTCCACTAGTCCCTTACTGAACTGAGATTGGTGGACTTTTCTTTAACCCACCAAATTACAGCCAATAGGAGAAGAGAACTGTCAGTCAGCTCAACACCTCAACTTATGTTTTCCTGTTGGATATTATTCTCTGTTACCTTCTTCAGAATGCACTGATATTGGAAAAGTGTTGGGGGTGTATATATTTAACGTCGCATCTACCAGCTTGTTTCACTGTCTCATATATATTACATACATACTTCCAGCAGTCCCTTACTGAACTGTGATTGGTGGACTATTTTTTAAACCACCAAATTACAACCAATAGGAGAAAAGAACAGTCAGTCAGCACAACGCCTCAACTTATGTTTTCCTGTTGGATATTATTCTTTGTTACCTTCTTCAGAATGCAATGATATTGGAAAAGTGTTGGGGGTGTATATATTTAACGTTGCATCTACCAGCTTGTTTCACTGTCTCATATATATTACATACTTCCACTAGTCCCTTACTGAACTGTGATTGGTGGACTTTTCTTTAACCCACCAAATTACAGCCAATAGGAGAAGAGAACAGTCAGTCATCTCAACACCTCAACTTATGTTTTCCTGTTGGATATTATTCTCTGTTACCTTCTTCAGAATGCACTGATATTGGAAAAGTGTTGGGGGGTGTATATATTTAACGTTGCATCTACCAGCTTGTTTCACTGTCTCATATATATTACATACTTCCAGCAGTCCCTTACTGAACTGTGATTGGTGGACTATTTTTTTAAACCACCAAATTACAACCAATAGGAGAAAAGAACAGTCAGTCAGCACAACGCCTCAACTTATGTTTTCCTGTTGGATATTATTCTTTGTTACCTACTTCAGAATGGGATGATATTGGAAAAGTGATGGAGGGTGTATTTATTTAGCGTAGCATCAACCAAAGTTCAAAATAGCGCAAAAATTAATGCACATAGGGGCCCAACAGGTCTGGCACTCCCAGGGGCCCTCCTAGGGGGAACGGCACCAACAGGTGCCAATGCAGGGGCGCCGACGCGTCATTGGACATTCTCAGGGGTCGCGGGGCCTCCAGGGACCCTTCCTAGGGGGGCGGCACCCCTAGCACCCTCCCAGGGGCGCCCGTGCCCCAAGGAGCCCTCTCTGTGGGCGGCACTACCCCCAGGGACTTTCCCATGGGTGGTGGGGCTCCCACAAACCCATTCAGGAGCTCCGGGGACCCAAGGGACGGCGGAGCAACCAGGGACTTTCCCAGGGATAACGGCGCCCCCAGAGACACTCCCAGTTATAAAAGCGTCCCAGGGACCTTTCCAGGGACCCTTTCCAGTGCTGTGGGGCTCCCAGGGGATCTCCCATAGGTGCTTGCAGCCGAGCGATCGTTCGAGGGGCCGCGACGTCACCAGGGACCCTCCCAAGGGCGGTTACGTCCCACGGGCTATCGTAATGGCGGCGGCGCCCCCAGGGGCCCTATCAGTGGTGCCATTCCCCCAGGGACACTGCCCTATGACATGCTTGTTCGCTGTCTCAGATATATTAAATACTTCCACCAGTCCCTTACTGAACTGTGATTGGTGGACTTTTCTTTAACCCACCAAATTACAGCCAATAGGAGAAGAGAACAGTCAGTCAGCTCAACACCTCAACTTATGTTTTCCTGTTGGATATTATTCTCTGTTACCTTCTTCAGAATGGACTGATATTGGAAAACTGTTGGGGGTGTATATATTTAACGTTGCATCTACCAGCTTGTTTCACTGTCTCATATATATTTCATACTTCCAGCAGTCCCTTACTGAACTGTGATTGTTGGACTATTTTTTTAAACCACCAAATTACAACCAATAGGAGAAAAGAACAGTCAGTCAGCACAACGCCTCAACTTATGTTTTCCTGTTGGATATTATTCTCTGTTACCTTCTTCAGAATGGGATGATATTGGAAAAGTGATGGAGGGAGTATTTATTTAGAGTAGCATCAACCAAAGTTCAAAATAGCGCAAAAATTACTGCACATAGGGGCCCAACAGGTCTGGCGCTCCCAGGGGCCGTCCTAGGGGTAACGGCGCCAACAGGTACCAATGCAGGTGCGCTGACGCGTCATTGGAGATTCCCAGGGGTCGCGGGGCCTCCAGGGACCCTTCCTAGGGGGGCCCCACCCCTAGCACCCTCGCAGGGGCACCGGAGTCCTAAGGAGGCCTCTCTGGGGGCGGCGCTGCCCCCAGGGACTCTCCCATGGGTGTTGGCGGTCCCATGAACCCATTCAGGGGCTCCGGGGCCCCAAGGGGTGGCGGAGCCCCCTGGGACCTTCCCAGGGATAAAGGAGCCATCAAAGGTACTCCCAGTTATAGAAGCGTCTCCAGGGACCTTCCCAGGGACCCTTTCAAGTCCGGTGGGGTTCCCAGGGAATCTCCCATTGGTACTTACGGTCTCACGGCCCCTTCCAGGGGTGGCGACGTCCCCTGGGACCCTCTTAAGGGCGGTTATGTCCCAGGGGCCCTCATAACGACGGCGACACCTCCAGGGGTCCTTTCAGGGGTGTCATTCCCTCAGGAACTCTGCCAAGGGTCCCCAAAGGCCCTATGACATGCTTGTTCGGTGTCTCAAATATATTACATACTTCCAGCAGTCCCTTACAGAACTGTGATTGGTGAACTATTCTTTTGACCCACCAAATTACAGCCAATAGGAGAAGAAAACAGTCAGTCAGCACAACACCTCAACTTATGTTTTCCTGTTGGATATATTCTTTGTTACCTTCTTCAGAATGCGAAGATATTGGAAAAGTCTTGGAGGGGTGTATATATTGAACGTTGCATCTACCACCTTGTTTAGCTGTCTCATTTATATTACATACTTCCAGCATTCCCGTACTGAACTGTCATTGGTGGACTATTTTTTTTAACCCACCTAATTACAGCCAATAGGAAAAGAGAGCAGTTAGTCAGCACAACACCTCAACTTATGTTTTCCTGTTGGATATTATTCTCTGTTACCTTCTTCAGAATGCGATGATAATGGAAAAGTGATGGAGGGTGTATTTATTTAGAGTAGCATCAACCAAAATTCAAAATAGCGCAAAAATTACTGCACACAAGGGCCCTACAGGTTTGGCGCTCCCTGGGGCCCTCCTAGGGGCAACGGTGCCAACAGGGGCCAATGAAGGGGTGCTGACGCCTCATTGGACCTTCTCAGGGGTCGCAGCGCCTCCAGGGACCCTTCCACGGGAGGCGGCACTCCTAGCACCCTCCCAGGGGCGCCCGTGCCCCAAGGAGCCCTCTCTGGGGCGGCACTACCCCAAGGGACTTTCCCATGGGTGGTGGGGCTCCCAGAAACCCATTCAAGAGCTCTGGGGACCTAAGGTCGCGGCGGAGGAACCAGGGACTTTCCCAGGGATAACGGCACCCCCGAGACACTCCCAGTTATAAAAGCGTCCCAGGGACCTTTCCAGTGCTGTGGGGCTCCCAGAGGATCTCTCATAGGTGCTTGCAGCCGAGCGATCGTTCGAGGGGCCGCGACGTCCCCAGGGACCCTCCCAAGGGCGGTTACGTCCTACGGGCTATCGTAATGGGGGCGGCGCTCCCAGGGGCCCTATCAGTGGTGCCGTTCCCCCAGGGACTCTGCCCTATGACATGCTTGTTCGCTGTCTCAGATATATTACATACTTCCACCAGTCTCTTACTGAACTGTGATTGGTGGACTTTTCTTTAACCAACCAAATTACAGCCAATAGGAGAAGAGAACAGTCAGTCAGCTCAACACCTCAACTTATGTTTTCCTGTTGGATATTTTTCTTTGTTACCTGCTTCAGAGTGCACTGATATTGGAAAAGTGTTGGGGGGTGGATATATTTAACGTTGCATCTACCAGCTTGTTTCACTGTCTCATATATATTACATACTTCCAGCAGTCCCTTACTGAACTGTGATTGGTGGACTATTTTTTTAAACCACCAAATTACAACCAATAGGAGAAAAGAACAGTCAGTCAGCACAACGCCTCAACTTATGTTTTCCTGTTGGATATTATTCTTTGTTACCTACTTCAGAATGGGATGATATTGGAAAAGTGATGGAGGGTGTATTTATTTAGCGTAGCATCAACCAAAGTTCAAAATAGCGCAAAAATTAATGCACATAGGGGCCCAACAGGTCTGGCACTCCCAGGGGCCCTCCTAGGGGGAACGGCGCCAACAGGTGCCAATGCAGGGGCGCCGACGCGTCATTGGACATTCTCAGGGGTCGCGGGGCCTCCGGGGACCCTTCCTAGGGGGGCGGCACCCCTAGCACCCTCCCAGGGGCGCCCGTGCCCCAAGGAGCCCTCTCTGTGGGCGGCACTACCCCCAGGGACTTTCCCATGGGTGGTGGGGCTCCCAGAAACCCATTCAGAAGCTCCGGGGACCCAAGGGACGGCGGAGCAAACAGGGACTTTCCCAGGGATAACGGCGCCCCCAGAGACACTCCCAGTTATAAAAGCGTCCCAGGGACCTTTCCAGGGACCGTTTCCAGTGCTGTGGGGCTCCCAGGGGTTCTCCCATAGGTGCTTGCAGCCGAGCGATCGTTCGAGGGGCCGCGACGTCACCAGGGACCCTCCCAAGGGCGGTTACGTCCCACGGGCTATCGTAATGGCGGCGGCGCCCCCAGGGGCCCTATCAGTGGTGCCGTTCCCCAAGGGACTCTGCCCTATGACATGCTTGTTCGCTGTTTCAGATATATTACATACTTCCACTAGTCCCTTACTGAACTGTGATTGGTGGACTTTTCTTTAACCCATCAAATTACAGCCAATAGGAGAAGAGAACTGTCAGTCAGCTCAACATCTCAACTTATGTTTTCCTGTTGGATATTATTCTCTGTTACCTTCTTCAGAATGCACTGATATTGGAAAAGTGCTGGGGGTGTATATATTTAACGTTGCATCTACCAGCTTGTTTCACTGTCTCATATATATTACATACTTCCAGCAGTCCCTTACTGAACTGTGATTGGTGGACTATTTTTTTAAACCACCAAATTACAACCAATAGGAGAAAAGAACAGTCAGTCAGCACAACGCCTCAACTTATGTTTTCCTGTTGGATATTATTCTTTGTTACCTACTTCAGAATGGGATGATATTGGAAAAGTGATGGAGGGTGTATTTATTTAGCGTAGCATCAACCAAAGTTCAAAATAGCGCAAAAATTAATGCACATAGGGGCCCAACAGGTCTGGCACTCCCAGGGGCCCTCCTAGGGGGAACGGCGCCAACAGGTGCCAATGCAGGGGCGCCGACGCGTCATTGGACATTCTCAGGGGTCGCAGGGCCTCCAGGGACCCTTCCTAGGGGGGCGGCACCCGTAGCACCCTCCCAGGGGCGCCCGTGCCCCAAGGAGCCCTCTCTGTGGGCGGCACTACCCCTAGGGACTTTCCCATGGGGGGTGGGGCTCCCAGAAACCCATTCAGGAGCTCTGGGGACCCAAGGGACGGCGGAGCAACCAGGGACATTCCCAGGGATAACGGCGCCCCCAGAGACACTCCCAGTTATAAAAGCGTCCCAGAGACCTTTCCAGGGACCCTTTCCAGTGCTGTGGGGCTCCCAGGGGATCTCCCATAGGTGCTTGCAGCCGAGCGATCGTTCGAGAGGCCGCGACATCACCAGGGACCCTCCCAAGGGCGATTATGTCCCACGGGCTATCGTAATGGCGGCGGCGCCCCCAGGGGCCCTATTAGTGGTGCCGTTCCCCCAGGGACTCTGCCCTATGACATACTTGTTCGCTATCTCTGATATATTACATACTTCCACCAGTCCCTTACTGAACTGTGATTGGTGGACTTTTCTTTAACCCACCAAATTACAGCCAATAGGAGAAGAGAACAGTCAGTCAGCTCAACACCTCAACTTATGTTTTCCTGTTGGATATTATTCTGTTACCTTCTTCAGAATGCACTGATATTGGAAAAGTGTTGGGGGTGTATATATTTAACGTTGCATCTACCAGCTTGTTTCACTGTCTCATATATATTACATACTTCCAGCAGTCCCTCACTGAACTGTGATTGGTGGACTATTTTTTTAAACCCCCAAATTACAACCAATAGGAGAAAAGAACAGTCCCAGTCAACTGCTTCAACTTATGTTTTCCTGTTGGATATTATTCTCTGTTACCTTTTTCAGAATGCACTGATATTGGAAATGTGATGGAGGGTGTATTTATTTAGCGTTGCATACACCATAGTTCAAAATAGCGCAAAAACTACTGCACCAAGGAGCCCTACAGGTCGGGCACTCTCAGGGGACCTCCTGGGGGCAACGGCGCCAACAGGGGCCAATGCAGGGGCGCCAACGCCTCACTAGACCTTCTCAGGGGTCGCGGCGCCTCCCGGGACCCTTCAGGAAAATTGGCACCTAGCACCCTCCCAGGGGCGTCAGTCCTAAGGAGGCCTCTATGGGCGGCGCTGCAGGGACTCTCCCATGGGTGGTGGCGGTCCCAGGAACCCCATTCAGGGGGCTCTGATTTGAGAGTGTGAGCCCCTGGGACCTTCCCAGAGATAACGGAGCCATCAAAGGTACTCCCAGTTATAGAAGCGTCTCCAGGGACCTTCCCAGGGACCCTTTCAAGTCCGGTGGGGTTCCCAGGGGATCTCCCATTGGTACTTACGGTCTCACAGCCCCTTCCAGGGGTGGCGACGTCCCCTGGGACCCTCTTAAGGGCGGTTATGTCCCAGGGGCTCTCATAACGACGGCGACGCCTCCAGGGGTCCTTTCAGGGGTGTCATTCCCTCAGGAACTCTGCCAAGGGTCCCCAAAGGCCCTATGACATGCTTGTTCGGTGTCTCAAATATATTACATACTTCCAGCAGTCCCTTACAGAACTGTGATTGGTGAACTATTCTTTTAACCCACCAAATTACAGCCAATAGGAGAAGAAAACAGTCAGTCAGCACAACACCTCAACTTATGTTTTCCTGTTGGATATATTCTTTGTTACCTTCTTCAGAATGCGAAGATATTGGAAAAGTCTTGGAGGGGTGTATATGTTGAGCGTTGCATCTACCACCTTGTTTAGCTGTCTCATTTTATATTACATGCTTCCAGCATTCTCGTACTGAACTGTCATTGTTGGACTATTTTTAACACAAATTACAGCCAATAGAAAAAGAGCAGTTAGTCAGCACAACACCTCAACTTATGTTTTCCTGTTGGATATTATTCTCTGTTACCTTCTTCAGAATGCGATGATAATGGAAAAGTGATGGAGGGTGTATTTATTTAGAGTAGCATCAACCAAAATTCAAAATAACGCAAAAACTACTGCACACAAGGGCCCTACAGGTTTGGCGCTCCCAGGGGCCCTCCTAGGGGCAACGGTGCCAACAGGGGCCAATGAAGGGGTGCCGACGCCTCATTGGACCTTCTCAGGGGTCGCAGCGCCTCCAGGGACCCTTCCACGGGAGGCGGCACTCCTAGCACCCTCCCAGGGGCGCCCGTGCCCCAAGGAGCCCTCTCTGGGGCGGCACTTCCCCCCAGGGACTTTCCCATGGGTGGTGGGGCTCCCAGAAACCCATTCAAGAGCTCTGGGGACCTAAGGGGCGGCGGAGGAACCAGGGACTTTCCCAGGGATAACGGCGCCCCCGAGACACTCCCAGTTATAAAAGCGTCCCAGGGACCTTTCCAGGGACCCTTTCCAGTGCTGTGGGGCTCCCAGAGGATCTCCCATAGGTGCTTGCAGCCGAGCGATCGTTCGAGGGGCCGCGACGTCCCCAGGGACCCTCCCAAGGGCGGTTACGTCCCACGGGCTATCGTAATGGGGGAGGCGCTCCCAGGGGCCCTATCAGTGGTGCCGTTCCCCCAGGGACTCTGCCCTATGACATGCTTGTTCGCTGTCTCAGATATATTACATACTTCCACCAGTCCCTTACTGAACTGTGATTGGTGGACTTTTCTTTAACCCACCAAATTACAGCCAATAGGAGAAGAGAACAGTCAGTCAGCTCAACACCTCAACTTATGTTTTCCTGTTGGATATTATTCTCTGTTACCTGCTTCAGAATGCACTGATATTGGAAAAGTGTTGAGGGTGTATATATTTAACGTTGCATCTATCAGCTTGTTTCACTGTCTCATATATATTACATACTTCCAGCAGTCCCTTACTGAACTGTGATTGGTGGATTATTTTTTTAAACCACCAAATTACAGCCAATAGGAGAAGGTAACAGTCAGTCAGCACAACACCTCAACTTATGTTTTCCTGTTGGATATTATTCTGTTATCTTCTTCAGAATGCGATGATATTAGAAATGTGATGGAGGGTGTATTTATTTAGCAATGCATCAACCATAGTTCAAAATAGCTCAAAAACTACTGCACCCAAAGGCCCTACAGGTCTGGCGCTCTCAGGGGCCCTCCTAGGGGAAACGGCGCCAACAGGGGCCTTTGCAGGGGCGCCAACACCTCATTGGACCTTCTTAGGGGTCGCGGCGCCTCCAGGGACCCTTCCACGAGCGGCTGCACCCCTAGCACCTTTCCACTGGTGTCGATGCAATTAGTGACCGATCCTTGGACGATGGGGCACCGAGGGACCCTCACAGGGGCAGCAACCCCCCTAGATATCTTACGAGGAGCGACGACGTTCCCAGGAATCCACCCAGGGACGGCGGCGACCCCAGCAACCTCCAAGGGGCGCTGGCGTTGCAAGGAGCCCTCTCTTGGGCCGGCGCTGCCCCAGGGACTCTGCCATGGGCGGTGGCGGTCTCAGGAACCCATTCAGGGGCTCCGGGGCCCCAAGGGGCAGTGGAGCCCCCAGGGACCTTCCCAAGGATAATGGTGCCCCCAGAGAGACCCCCAGTGATAGAAACGTCCCCAGCGACCTTCCCGGGGACCCTTTCAAGTGCGGTGGGGCTCCCAGGGGATCTCCCATTGGTACTTATGGCCTCACGGCCCCTTACAGGGGCGGCGACGTCCCCAGGGACCCTCCCAAGGGCGGTTACGTCCTAGGGGCCCTCGTAAAGGCGACGACGCCCCCAGGGTCCTCTCAGGGGTGTCGTTCCCCCAGGGACTCTGCCAAGGGTCCCCAAAGGCTCTATGACATGCCTGTTCGCTGTCTCAAATATATTACATACTTCCAGCAGTCCCTTACTGAACTGTGATTGGTGGACTATTTTTTTAAACCTCCAAATTACAGCCAATAGGAGAAGAGAACAGTCAGTCAGCACAACACCTCAACTTATGTTTTCCTGTTGGATATTATTCTCTGTTACCTTCTTCAGAATACGAGAATATTGGAAATGTGATGGAGGGTGTATTTATTTAGCGTTGCATCAACCATAGTTCAAAATAGCACAAATCTACTGCACCCAGGGGCCCTACAGGTCTGGCTCTCTCAGGGGACCTCCTAGGGGCAACAGCGCCAACAGGGGCCAATGCAGGGGCACCGACGCCTCACTGGACCTTCTCAGGGGTCGCGGCATCACCAGGGACCCTCCCAAGGGCAGTTACATCCCAGGGGCCCTCGTAACGGCGGCGGCGACCCCAGGGGTCCTCTCAGGGATGTCGTTCCCTCAGGGGCTCTGCCAAGGGTCCCCAAAGGCCCAATGACATGCTTTTTTGCTGTCTCAAATATATTACATACTTCCACCAGTCCCTTATTGAAATGTAATTGGTGGACTTTTCTTTTAACGCACCAAATTACAGCCAATAGGAGAAGAAAACAGTCAATCAGCTCAACACCTCAACTTATGTTTTCCTGTTGGATATTATTTTCTGTTACCTTCTTCAGAATGCAATGATATTGGAAAAGTGTTGGGGGGTGTATATATTTAACGTTGCATCTGGCAGCTTGTTTCGCTGTCTCATATATATTACATACTTGCAGCAGTCCCTTACTAAACTGTGATTGGTGAACTATTTTTTTAAACCTCCAAATTGCAGCCAATAGGAGAAGAGAACAGTCAGTCAGCACAACACCTCAACTTATGTTTTCCTGTTGGATATTATTCTCTGTTACCTTCTTCAGAATGCGAGAATATTGGAAATGTGATGGAAGGTGTATTTATTTAGCGTTGCATCAACCATAGTTCAAAATAGCACAAATCTACTGCACCCAGGGGCCCTACAGGTCTGGCTCTCTCAGGGGACCTCCTAGGGGCAACGGCGCCAACCGGGGCCAATGCAGGGGCACCGACGCCTCAATGGACGTTCTCAGGGGTCGCGGCGTCACCAGGGACCCTTCCACGGGCGGTGGCACCCCTAGCACCTTCCCAGGGGTGTCGATGCACTCAGTGACCAATCCTTGAAGATGCGGCACCGAGGGACCCACACAGGGGCAGCAGTGTCCTCAGATATCTTACGAGGGGCAACGACGCTCCCAGGGATCCACCCAGGGACTCTCCCATGGATGGTAGCGCTCCCAGGAACCCATTCAGGGGTTCCGGGGCCCCAAGGGGCGGCGGAGCCCCCCGGGACCCTCCCAGGGATAACGGTGCCCCCAGAGACACTCCCAGACATAAAAGCGTCCCCAGGGACCTTCCCAGGGACCCTTTCAAGTGGGGCGGGGCTTTCAGGGGATCTCCCATGGGGTCTTGCGGCCAGACACCCCTTCCAGGTTCGGCGACGTTCCGAGGGACCCTCCCAAGGGCGGTTACGTCCCAGGGGCCCTCGTAACGGCGGCGGCGACCCCAGGGGTCCTCTCAGGTGTGTCGTTTCCCCGGGGACTCTGCCAAGGGTCCCCAAAGGCCCAATGACATGCTTGTTTGCTGTCTCAAATATGTTACATACTTCCAGCAGTCCCTTACTGAACTGTGATTGGTGGACTATTTTTATAAACCACCAAATTTCAGCCAAAAGGAGAAGATAACAGTCAGTCAGCACAACACCTCAACTTATGTTTTCCTGTTGGATATTATTTTCTGTGACCTTCTTCAGATTGCGATGATATTGGAAATGTGATGGAGGATGTATTTATTTAGCGTAGCATCAACCATAGTTCAAAATAGCGCAAAAACTACTGCACCCAGGGGCCCTACAGGTCTGGCTCTCCCAGGAGGTCTCCTAGGGGGAACGGCGCCTACAGGGGCCAATGCAGGGGCTCTGACGCCTCATTCGACCTTCTCAGGGGTCGCGGCGCCTCAAGGGACCCTTCCAGGGGGGGGGGGGCGGCAACCCTAGCACCTTCCCAGGGGTGTCGGCGCACTCAGTGACCAATCGTTGGACGGTGGGGCACCGAGGGACCCTCACAGGGGCGGCACCGCCCCCAGACATCTTACGAGGGGCGGCGACGGTCCCAGGGATTCACCCAGGGACGGCAGCAATTCCGGGGAGAGTCGCTGGTGCCCCAAGGAGCCCTCTCTGGGGTAGGAACTGCCCTCAGGGACTCTCCCATGGGTGGTGGCGGTCCCAGGAACCCATTCAGGAGCTCTGGGGCCCCAAGGGGCGGTGGAGCCCCTTGGGACCTTCCCAGGGATAATGACACCCCCGCAGACACTCCCAGTTATAGAAGCTTCCCCACGGACCTTCCCAGGGACCCTTTCAAGTGATGTTGGGCTCCCAGGGGATCTCCCATTGGCACTTACGGCCTCACGGCCCTTTCCAGGGGCGGCGACGTCCCCAGGGATCCTCCCAAGGGCGGTTACGTCCCAGGGGCCCTCGCAATGGGGGCGGCGCCCCCAGGACTCTGCCAAGGGTCCCCAAAGGCCCTATGACATGCGTGTTCCCTGTCTTAAATATATTTCATACTTCCACCAGTCCCTTACTGAACTGTGATTGGTGGACTTTTCTCTTAACCCACCAAATAACAACCAATAGGAGAAGAGAACAGTCAGTCAGCAAAACACCTCAATTTATGTTTTCCTGTTGGATATTATTCTGTTACCTTCTTCAGAATGCAATGATATTGGAAAAGTGTCGGGGGGGTGTACGTATTTAACGTTGCATCTACCAGCTTTTTTTACTGTTTCATATATATTACATACTTCCAGCAGTCCCTTACTGAACTGTGATTGGTGGATTATTTTTTTAAACCACCAAATTACAGCCAATAGGAGAAGGTAACAGTCAGTCAGCACAACACCTCAACTTATGTTTTCCTGTTGGATATTATTCTGTTATCTTCTTCAGAATGCGATGATATTAGAAATGTGATGGAGGGTGTATTTATTTAGCAATGCATCAACCATAGTTCAAAATAGCTCAAAAACTACTGCACCCAAAGGCCCTACAGGTCTGGCGCTCTCAGGGGCCCTCCTAGGGGAAACGGCGCCAACAGGGGCCTTTGCAGGGGCGCCAACACCTCATTGGACCTTCTTAGGGGTCGCGGCGCCTCCAGGGACCCTTCCACGAGCGGCTGCACCCCTAGCACCTTTCCACTGGTGTCGATGCAATTAGTGACCGATCCTTGGACGATGGGGCACCGAGGGACCCTCACAGGGGCAGCAACCCCCCTAGATATCTTACGAGGAGCGACGACGTTCCCAGGAATCCACCCAGGGACGGCG